CAGCATAATGTTGCAGCCGAAGGACAAGCTATCTGGGAAAGCTCTGCAATGTTGCAAGCCCAAGGATGAACTATCCTGGGAAAACAAAGAAGGATTCTCCAGAGAATAAAGGAGACTTCTTCACAGCTGCAGCTGCAAGCAGAAATAGTATATAAATGGAACCTGCAGAGCTTAGGTAATGCTAAAGTGAATAATAGGTATAGTTGTCCTGCAAGCTAAGAAAGTATACAAATGGAACTTTTAGGGTTTAGGTAATGGTTATGCAATGGTAAAGAGAACAATACGCATAGTTATTCAGGCACTGTGTAAGAGAAGGACTGAGCTAACAATAAAGTTTGAAGGCTTTTGCAGAACCTCATATTGAGTGTTTTGTGTCTTCCCTGCTTGTGAGCTCTCCGCAGGCCAGAATCAATGATACAGAACAATTAGTAGTAAAGAAGACCATGTTTCTCTGTGATCTCTTTGTTTAAGTGATTAATGTAACCACCTAAGAAGAAACATTCTTTACTACTCTGTACATCTTGCAGCAACATGTGCTCAGGCAGCTGTGTAACCCATTTTGGCATGAAGAGGCTATTTGCTCTTAGAGAAGTTCACAGCTGAAAATAAAAACAGGAGGAAAAACCACATCCTGGTATAGAACAGAGCTAAACGTGTTTGGGATAGAGAGGTGGGCATAATTTTGAGAATAAAAATAGTGTAACACATTTAATCACTAGAAAAATTAAAAGCTATAGAATCATACCAAATACCATGTTAATTACAGCTCAACATACCTTTTTCTTGGTGATGTTTAGTTTACTTCCAATAACTTTTGCCATTTTCTGTCTGCTCCCTCGGTTGGACAGCATAGCTGTGAAACAGTCCAATGCCTGCCAAGGGGAAAAGCAACTTCTTGATCACCAATGGAGCATGATTTGAGCTGGCAAGCTCATCTAAATGAGCCCAAAGCCAACCCTGCTTCATCAATAAGATTATTTCAGTGTCTACAGGTTGAGTCAAACAACAGAGGTCAAAAGGATGTAATAAGAACTGCTAAACTCTGCAGTGTAGTGGGTTTCTACCACAAATAAGAATTTCTCAATGCCCAGTCACAGTCTTACATGAATGGCCCAAAATGGAGAAGAAAGTAACACTACGATCTCACATCTCCAAACTGCCTCTGACTGATGCACTCCCAAAACATTCCCAAACCAGAATGCAAACTGATGCATAGGAAAGCAGAAAAGAAGCCTCATGCTACAATAAAAAATAGGGCATAAAAATTTTACTCTCAGTTGTTTGCAATCCCAGCTCCTATCAGCTAAAGTCATTTTGCAGCATGTTGTTTGTGCAACAGCAGTTCAGTCTTCCAGCACATTACTGCAAACAGAATCACAGATCAGTGAGGGTAGAAGGGACCACAGTGGTCATCTGGTCCCTACTCCAGCAGGGCCAGCCTAGAGCTCATGGCTCAGGGCTGTGTCCAGAGGGGTCTGGAATATCTCCAGTGAGGAGAATCCACGACCTCTCTGGGCAATCTGTTCAATGCTCAGGGACTGCACAGCAAAGAAGTTCTTCCTCCTGTTCAGGTGGAACTTCCTGGGCATCAGTTTGTGCTGTTCCCTCTTGTTTGATTGTATTCCACCCCGAGAAGAAAACCTCCCTAGTGGCCAGTGAAACCTCTGATCAGACAGATCACAAACACTCCAACTGCAGTCCAACTGCTTCAGACAAAACTAAACATCAATTCCCATCTCACATTCCCAAGCAGAGTATTTTGTGAGACAATGCTAGGACTTGGGTCAGCAAGTTCTATACCAAGTCTCACCGCACCTCCTGAAAAATGTTCATTGCTGTGGTTGGGGAGTTGCTGTTGAAGCTGTAAGCAATCCTGCTGCACCAGTTCAGTAGGTCTCTGAAGAGAAACAGTACACAAAGATTTGGTACAAACAAGCCCAAACACAAAGCACCTTCCTTCATGTTCAGCTTAGGTCGTTGCATTACTTCTGGCAGCTGCTGTGTAAGTTGTGCAGGGGAGGACACACATTTGGTGACCATAGAGAATAACAGTGCTGCTTTCTGAGATGTTGCTTAGAAATAGACAATACATACTCCACTAACCCATAAAGGAACTCTGAAACTTAAAGCCCGGAAAGGTATAAAGCCTCCTATTTTTTCATAGAATCATCAAGGTTAGAGAGACCTCTAAGATCACTGAGTCCAACCATGAACCTGTCACTGCTGGAACCCCCAAACCCTAACCCAGATCCTCCAGTGCCACATCAGACACCTCTGAAACACCTCCAGGGATGGTGACTGCACCACCTCCCTGGGCAATATCCCAGGGCCTCAACACCACAACAGGCAAAACATTTCTCCTCACATCCAATCTGACTCTGCCCTGGCTCAGCTCAAGGCCATTCCCTCTCTCCTCTCCCTGCAGCCCTGGCAGGAGAGGAAACAAACTCTCCTGTCTCTGGAACTAACTCTTCCAATCAACATATAAAAGACAACCTTAGAGATAGTTCTCGTCCTTCCAGATTTGGTTTATGTTCTGATCTTGGTTCTGATGAGTCTTCTGGCATGTGAGTGGAGGCAGCAGCATTGTTTCCTGATGCCTGATACTTCTCTCCTGTGAGGTCAATGAAAATGTCCAGCAAGTTATCCATTACAGGAGTGAGGTTGGGGTATCTCCTTTGAAGGACCTGAAAAGAGAAGAAACAAAAGAGAAAACAAGTTTTACAAACAACCATTAGCATGGAAAGCAAACCACCAGCCCCACATATGTTAGGGGGAGGCACTTCAATAGACACTTAACCCAGGAATCTAAACAAAACTGCTCTCTTGCAATCTCTGGGTGGACTTGATGATCTTAGAGGTCTCCTTCAACCTTGATGGTTCTATGATTCTGTGTCTCCACCAATCTGTCTCCAGAGGCCTCCCCATGCATCCACTGCTTCTCTTCCTACCAAATCTACAAGTATCAAGTGCTGTTCTTAACCCATTCCTAACAACTACCTGACACATGAAAGAGAAAGAAAAACACAGATATTGAAGGTCACCCTTAAACCTACTCCTGAACAAGTCCAAAGGAGTGAGTGAATCCTACTGAAAAAATATCTTCTTCCTTCCAGAAAATTCAGAACATCAGATCCTGTTCTGAGTTCTGTAGCTCTCACCAGAGGATTCTAATTGCATATGAGTTCTGAGCTCCTCTAATTTAAGAGCTACACAAAGGAAACATCTCCAAGAGATGCTAACCAAAGATGTCAGTAGAAGCAGCTATTTTGAGTTGAGAACTGACCAATTATTTTTCAACTCAAAGCTCAGAACTCAGAGTACACTCAAATTTCTTTATCTCTCTGCTTTAAAATCTCTGTGGGCTAGTAAGGGGCAAAGTCACTTGATTCTTAGACCCTTACAAAGCAGATTGTGTTCTTCAAGGCACCTTCCAGGAATCTTTGTCCAACTGACTTCAAATTTTCCTGAAGAACTGCCCACTTACTTCAAAACTGGCAGGACAAAGCTGAAATTCTAAGGGTCTACTGTGGGACTTGAAGATAAAAATAAAGACTGAATTTCCTTCTGAGAAACATTTACCATCCTCAATTGAAACCATTATTCACATGCCACCACACAGCAACACACTCCATACCTCCTTGAGCTCTCCTTTGCTCATGTTATCCAGGTGTACTTTGGTCCAGTACTTGTCCAGAAGAGCAGCATGGCTGTTTTGCTGCCTGTACCAACCTCCAGCACAACTGAATATCCTACATGAAAACAAGAACAAACAGAATATCGTGTGCTGCTGCAGAATTCAACACCTTCAATGCGGGTGAGGCAACCGAAAGAGTTGAATACAAAAAGATTCCATTCTGGAAAAAGTAGATCAGATAAATCAAAGTTTCATAGTAAGTGAAAGGGTTGGAATGGAACGTAGAGATGATCCAGCCCTAACCCCCTGCCCTGGGCAGGGACACTTCTCACCAGAGCAGGTTGCTCAAGGCTCATCCAACCTGGCTTTGAAATCATAAATCTTCTTCACACAACAATGCTGTGGTAGTTTGTTTTGGCTGGTTTTTCTAGTTGATTTTGTAGGGTTCTCCTCAGCAAGGTTAATCCCTTCATCTGTGCTGAAGAGACCTTTCTGTCCAGAGACTGGATTCACCCAGTAGTAATAAAGCTGATTTCAAGTGAAAAAAAAATCCTTTCAGTTTCTACAGTTCCTATTGCTTGTTAACTGGAGATTTCTAAAATACTCCTGCTCAAGTACCTTACATTCAAAACTACCTTGGACTCCATTCATGCTCTCAATCTCATTAACTTTACCAACTTACCTCCTGGTTGCAAAAAACTGGAATCCTGGGGATACTTTTAAACAGTCACCACGACCAGGAATCAGTAATTCTCTTTTCTCCAAAAGAGGAATCAGCACAGAGATCTGGAAAAAGAAAAATCATTACACTGTTTTTTTTTGGTGAAAGTGTAATAGAGAGCACAGCACATCCATCCACACTCATGTCACACTGGAGGTACTGGAGCAATTCCACTGAGCACTGTTATGTTGTCAGCAACTGCCAAGGCACTCCACAGGAATTCCAAAATCTCCAGAAATTTTAATCAGCAGTGGAAGTTAGGGGTGCAATGTTTAGCTATCTTCGTTCACCTCTATTCAGATTCAAAGATAAATCTCTACAGTGACCAGATCAGCTTTGGGCACTCACTGCCCAAAGGCCATTGAGGCACTGAGCAAGTCCAGCCAAGGGCAACGAGGGCAGCAAAGGGCAGAGCACATGGGCAAGGGCTGAGGGAGTTGGGTTGGTCAGCCTGGAGAAGAGGCTCAGAGGAGGCTCTGAAGAAAGGGAGACTGTGTTGAATGTGGGATACTCCTTGGGTCATGCTTATGATGAGTGCAAGGAGTCCACAGAAGCAGTAAGTGCATGAACCCCTAGCAGAGAACTGTCTAGTACAATCAAGCAGCACTTTTTAGACATGTTCTATATTTCAGATGCCTAGAACCCAGTTGAACTCTCAGGATGTTCAGTCACACAAATGATGCTCTACAGAGAAGATATGAAAGGAAAAAAGCTCTTTGCAGAGTGTCTGGCAGGCCCACACAGCAAAGCATCTCTACCACATTGCTCTGGCAGATAAGGTGTTTTCAGAAGCAATTACTACAAAAGGCAGAGATGACAGTCTAATAGTCATTCTGGAGCTGAAAACAAGAAAGCTGTTAAACCCTACACTGCTTAATGTAACAATACATCTTTTAATATCCAAACCAGAGGTGATAAAAAAAACAAAAAAGAAGGCACACACAACAAACACTTTCAGATCTCATTAACAGCACCAGCCTAACACACTGATGATGTTCTGTGGTGGTCAAGGTCACCTTTGCTTTCAAATACTACAACATGATTTAACAGGCACATAATTATCAGTGTCAATTCCAACCTGCAGAGTGAAATTTGGCATCAGCCATGACTACTCTGTAGCAATGACAACAACTGCCACGGTGTGCTAATATGGGAACAAAGACAGGTTGATTGCCTCTAACCCTTTTAAAGGAGCAGCATTTCCACAGGCTGTCTCACAACCCCTGGTGACTAGACTCCCAACGTTGCCATCATAACCAGTGCCCTACAGTCAACACAAACCTACATACCACATCCAGAGGAGCATAATCAATATCCTCCAGAAGTATCCAGTGGCCTTTGGTAACAGCTTGTGTCAAGGTTCCAGGCTGCCAGACAAACTCCCCTGGCACATCTGTGCAACGATACATACCCAGCAGTGTCTGTGACAGAAACAATGAGCAAGTTAGAGACCTGGTCATTTCATCCCTTAAAAAAATCTCAAAGAATAACAGACATGACCAAAGTTGGCACGTAAGTAACGTTTACTTAGCCCACACATCACTAAACAATCCACCTAGTCATCTGTGCCCAGCATTACTCTTGTTCTAGTTAGGCAAAGTTTCCCCACTTTGCATCTATGATAATCTAACTGAAACACAATATTTAAAACAAACTGGGAGTGAATTTATGACCTTAATTGACAAACTATCTGAAGTCTAACCTAAAAATCCATCCAGGGTCGCACTGACCTTCATTTTACATTATGAAAAGTCTCTAGCTGAGGTAGGAAAAGCAACTGTAAAGCAAGTTATTCAGAGGTCAAAACCAGTGAATTGTTGCTTCTCTCTACAATTGCAACTTCCAGATTTTTGTTTAAATGATTAAGTTCATGGTTTTACAGCTACAAATTTTGTACCTCAAACTTCATCACTTAGCCACATCTACAAAAAGATACCCTTGTGGAGAACAGTTGTGAGATGGTGAGATCAGCTGTTCTGTGCAAAGAAGGTGCATGTGCATGGTAATAAAACCCTTCAAATAACACTTCTGGTAGATCCTAACCACCCTAGGAAACGAAATGTAAACCAAGCCAAACAATGTAAATGGATTCAAGCTCAATTCAAGCTATATATGCAAGTCCAGGAGAATGTGAAATGATGATTCCCTCTGGTTTTAGCTCTACAGATAGAACTGGATCACTAGTAGATAAGTGGAAGTCTCCTGAACAGCACAGGATCTTACTTCATCTCACCTCTATCACCAAAAAACTGCACCAGACTAAACTGATGTCAGCTCATGGAAACTGAAATAAAAGGGTTCCTATGACTTTTAGCACCATCTTGAACCATATTAGAACCATCACTTTTCCAATATAAACCAATTTTTAAAATTAAAAACAACTCCAAAACTAAAGAGCTCTTTTCACATAGAAAAACACTGACGAACCATCATTTGAATGATACAGATACAGCACAATTATGCACAGACTTTAAAACTCATTGAAGCTTAACTGTTGTTTTTCTTTGCATTTATTATTCATTCTCATCACTAATAAGACCAATCCCACAGAGCTGGGCACTGTGGGGTGTTTGGGTAAACAGTTAAACATTATCTTGTGAATAAAACATCAACAGTGTGTCCTGGTGGCTCAGGGGCCAATGGAATCCTGGGATGCATTGGGAAGAGCATTGCCAGCAGGTCAGGGAGGTGATCCTGTCCCTCTGCTCAGCCCTGGGGAGGTCACACCTGGAGTGCTGTGTCCAGTTCTGGATCCTCAGGGCCAGAGGGACATGGAGCTCCTGCAGCAGG